ATGGAAACTTTTGAGTTCAGGTAAAACAATAACAATTACAATTAAACAATTTCAGTCATGCATTATTCAACAATTAAAATTACAGTTAAAACTGCACACATTTTCTCGGTTGCAAGCCACAACAAAGTTGCGCTACGCAACTTACCACAACCAAGTACTCCCCAACTACTCCTCACGACCAATCATACACATACACACCAAACTGCATCCGTACAAATGTGTGAATGAATGTGAATAAATGTTTTAAACCGCATCCACAGACAGATATTTAAGTATTTTTTTTTTTTTTTTCCTGCTATGTTGAAGTATGCAAATGTTTGCTGTTGGAATCGAATTACATACAAACATGTGCTTAATACGCATACTTGCACACCTCTTCTTGCTGTACTTTTTGTGTAACTATGCACTTTTGCTGGTTTTAAACAAAAACTGCACTTGTGTAAGTTAACTTCTGAAAATGTGTTAGTAGCAACTCATGTGTTTGTTAACGAAATCATCATATTCGCATCAGTTCGTATAGCTCGTACGATTCGAATTAAACCGCAACTGCATTGGTTGCATTGCCACTGCATTGCCTGGGTCGACTGCATTGCCTACATTGGCTTGAATGCGAGCACAGAACGTTGACTTCTCAAGTTTTTATTTCTGCGGCTTAAATTTGGTATTTTAAGCGGTTGAAGTGGATCTGGAATGCTCGGAAATATTCTGAAATTAAGGTTGTCATTTTGATAGACATTTGTGAGAATGGGAATATATGTGTGCTGATGTCATTTAACTTCAAGAAATTTATATGCTAAAATTGCGTTAAAAGTATTTAGTTATTTTACATCCAAAACTTATGAATATTAAATAAAAGATTTCATAGTTTATTCCTGGGGGAACTAGGTACACAGGAAGGTGAAGTGGAAGAAGAATCAAAACCTTCTCAGTTAGCTAAGAAAACTTTTTTTGATTCGGCAAATCTTGTAATTGTGGGTGGAAAGAGGGGCATATTAAAAAACCGCAGGACGTAATAATAAATGCAAATATTTGACCAATACTAACATTTTAAATACCGCAAAGTGTGTTTAACAATAGGGTACTCAAAAGCCTAAGATTGGTTTTAGACATGCTTAGACAAAAACAACTGGTGCTCTGGTGACTGCTCTTCGAACGCCCGTAGATATATTTTATAGGAGAATAGACAGCGCAGATCGAGTCTATTCGTATAGTTCAGAAATATATTAGAGATGGGCTCTTTGAAAGGAGTTAAGGAGCCCATCTGTTGTCGTTGTGGTTAATGTTGTGGTTAAACACCAAATATACACGGTTAAATTGACTTTATCCTATTTTTTTTATTCAATATGGAGTTGCATTTTCAAAACGGGTGCTGTGTTTTAAAGAAGAGTAGAGGTGTTAGATAGGTCTCGTTGTCCAACAAGGAGGAAATTATATCCAAACGTTTAGCTTTAATGTCAGAGTTGTGAGAGCCTTAACGGAAGGTTATCATGTTATATGACTCTAGATTCTGTCATACCACAGAACAGTTTTAAGAGATTGATTAGTTAATAGAAATTGAATAAAGAACCTTGTGATCAGAAGACTATTTGACGTGACGATTTTATGAAATATTTCTAATCCATATATTTATGATGCTAGCATTTCCGATTTCCAATCAAAATCAGCAATACTCACCACTGCGCTGTATATCAACATAGCATAGTAGAAAAAGTTATTGACTTCACTGAAGTCCCAATGAAATAAGCATTCCCGGAAAATCTGAATTATTTTGTAAGATAGTTATTAATGTATAGCAAATGGACGCCTTCTCCTCAGTACTGGGCATTGGAAATATTGTTCGGTTGCAGTGGCTAGTCTGCAGATATCCATCCACTTCTATCCATTCCTTCTTATGCGTATCTGCCATTGAAAACGTTGGTTGATTGCAGTGACAGATATTCTTTCACTTCCCATAATTAGTGATTGCTTGCTGTTTTATTGCCACGTTTTTCGTAAGTAATTTAAATAGAAAAGAACTAAATCCATCCAATTCGATTGATTATGGATCATTTTATTTACTTCTCGGACCCATAACTGCAACAGAAGTCGTTGAATGCGGTTCACATAGAGTCATCATGGCGACCACTGAGTGCTACAACTGATTCAACAAAAAAATTTTCTGACTAAGTGACTTGCCTTTAATATGTTTTGATATTAGTTTTCTCATGGTACAATTTTCTAAGTTTATTGACTTGTCAGGGTAGTTCTCTTTTACATAAATAAAGAGTCGTGCCTAATCTAATCAAAGTTCTTATAAAAAATATTATTACATTATATTATTAGACAAAAGAAGCAATCAAACCTACTATTTACTTTTTCTAATGGCATCGTAACCGGATCCTGATATATGGTTGTCTTGGTATGAAAATATGTTCTTTTCAAAATCTTTGATCCGTCATTTGAAAGTGTTATATTCATTTAGTTACCTTGATTGAGGTCGAAGTGATATATACATCTAATTTAATTGATCTCTTAGGAAAATGTGCTTCACTTCAGGACAGTTCAATTGCTTTATAGTTAGCATTGAATATATCTTAAGGTTATTGATATGGCTTACCATATCATATCATATCATTTGATTAAAAACAGTCTAATGAAATATCTTTATTTGATAGGGTATAATTTTAGCAGATAGCCATAAGATCTATCATAAATAAATATAATTTGTATTAAGTTTTTTGCCTTGAAGTCATTATTATCTAACTAAATCTATTATCTATTTAAATGTTCCAAAATAAATTGAACGATTCTTTAAAGTTCTGTATAGTTGAAAACATCATGTAATTTTACTTTAAGTTGATATCCTTACGCTTAACGGCTTATTCAGAGGTGAAGTAGGTGGTGAGCAATGGTTCGAAGGATTGTGTGCTTTTAAGTATCTACAGATACTTACAGATACCCGTACGTGTTGTTGGGCTAACAGCAATAGCTGACACATTAAATTGCTGCACTTTTTCTTACTTACATACATATCTTCAGGGTTATTGTTTTTGCCGGCTCGCTGAAGGTGTTGCAAAAATAGCAACAAAAACAGGAAAATATCGAACGTTGGAAAAACAGTTTCCGGTCATTATACGGAAAACGGAAACAGCTACCAATCGAATGAATTTCCGGTAAGGTTTTTCCTCGTGCCTGTTTTTGCAACGCTCATACACTTTGTTCTTTATGGATCCTTTTTTACTGGTTCGCCTGGTATTTCTTTCTCTTGTTTTCCTTGTTTTGCGTCAATTTCACCGTTAATGTGCAATAAAATTACTGCAGGCGTTCGTCGGAACATATGAATGCAATGCATCCATTGCTAATGTAACTGTTTTTGTGTCTGTTGACATGGTTTTTGCCCCATTGGCATTAAGCCGTTAAAGTGATACCACCTTTTGCAGTTATTCTTCCTATACGTTTGGATGGTTAGAAAAAGTTCAAAGCTCTTTTGGTTACCAGGTGTGAAAAAGTGGACGCTTGGTCAGTTTCGCTTCTTGTCCTTTTTTTAGGAGAATATTAAATGTATAATAATTTTCTTTTTAACTCATTGACAAATTTAAATTGTTTGGTTTTGATATATTTTTTTCGGAAAATATATGTTACGTATTTTATTTTCTGGTTTATTTTTACTAAAGTTCACAGTAAAAGTTTTTGTTACGCAAAAATAATTTGGCAAAAGTACTAAATCGATATATGTGAGTCGGAATGTATCTACAGGAATACTGAAGAATATTTTTTTTGGAAAAATGAGAAATTTTTGATAACTGTATTTTGTGTTTGATATTAAATATTTAAATAAAGCATAAAAATATTTAAGAAATAGAACCTTTCACTCAAATGGTAAAGGTCCAAGGTGACTATTAAGAAAGGACACCTCCTAATGGTCTAATTTTATATCCATTATTACATTTTGTTACTATGTCTAACCATTCTAATATTTAAGATATTTAATGTTAAGTTTCTTAATTTCACTTTACTATTTACCTCTATAATGGAGAAGATTCAAAATTTTGGCAGAATGAATAGATTTCCAGTTAAATTGATAAAAAGGTTTATATGTTCCAGCTCCTAAGACATAATCACATACATACATATATACCTACATACCTAGCAAGGGTGCGATGATGGCTTAAAAATGCAGAACTGTAGTTTTGCGGCTCAGAAGCGGTACTGATAAGCGTAAGAAAGTAAAAGAAGAAGATAAAACATTCAATTGGTAGGCATGAAATACTACTAATTAAAAGCAATAAAATACCTTGGATTCATGATCGATGTAAGAATAACTTCCAAATAGCACTTTACCATAGTAAGAGTTAAGGCAGCGGCGATGATAGCTTGTTTACGAGAATCCTCTCTAACATAGGTGTTCATTAGGTGGTGAGAGAAGGCATCCTCTAGCGATGGCTAAGGGATCTATTATGATTTATACCGTAACCTCTTTGGGCGGCAGTAAAAAAGTATCAGAAAGACTATTAGCATAGATACACAGACGCAATGCATTGCGTGTTGGTTGCAATCCGATATCATCATTTTTTGTGAAATTAAATTACATTAAATTCTCTGTTATTTATTATCTACAAAATTTTTCATTAGTTGACCTTTTGGGTTTTGGTATATATAGTGCTGTTAGCTAGCACTTTGTATTTGTTTGTGTTTTTTGTAAAGTTATAATGCATTAAATTCTCCGCGTTATCTGTTATCTATAAAATTTTTCATTAGTTGACCTTTTGGGTTTAGGTATATATAGTGCTATTAGCTAGCACTTTGTATTTGTGTTTTTTTTTGCAGTTATTAGCTGGCTTATTAACTCTTGGTTATTTAGCTAATTTGAGCACTAATTTTTGGTTTGTTTCTTAATTTATATAAATTTAGTACTGT